AGTCGCTTATGTATAAGATTTATCAAATACTGTCATTTATAATCTTCTCAAATGTCTTAATTAATAGAATAAATAATATTTAATTGCATTCTTAATATTATTTCAATAGCAAAATAAAATATATATAAATGTGACAAAAAAATAATATATCTGAATTTTTATAATAGCAATTAGTGTCTTACATTTTCTTTAGTTGTGTATGGCTTAAGTCATTAAAGTAGCATATTATTTCTAGTTACTAAGCTTTAACTTAGACAGATTGTATATTCTATCTGTTTAGCAAGTTTGTGTAAATTAACCGATTAGTTGAAACAATAAATTTGTATCTTTTTTATAATTTTGCAAAACAGATTTAAATATATACTTCAAATGGAAATTGCTCTCCACTAATTTAGTATTACTTATCGTTTATTATTTACTATTATTTACTTAAGAGTTGTTTACTTATTGAAATGTAGCTTATCTTTGAATTCGCTAGAATGGACTAGAAATATCAATTAAATAATTTTTTTTTATAATAAACAAGTAAACAATATTTTTAGAAATACATTTTTTTTTTTAAATCCACTTAAAGTCACTTAAAAATTTATTTGTTGTTGTTGTTGATTTTGTTTATAACAAAATATTTTACGTTCTTACGCGAAAACGTAATGCACAATTAACAGCGCGCCTTTGTATCTTGAATTGGTCGTGATTAAAATTATGTCACTATTGTATCTCATGGATGTGTATTACGATGTGCTTTACGACAAAACATATGTTAACTAGAATGCAATACAATTTTTTATTTTGTGAAATAATTAGGCAGTTGTTTATGTTGCTTTTATTTGCACATGTGTGTCTTGTAAATATACTATATATATATAGAGTAGTCCTTAGAGACTAATTTGGACACATACTTCTAATTAAATTTGTTGAGTTTTAAATTAAATACTACGAAAAATGTAATTTAATATTATGACCTTTGAGCAAGCACATGCACACACCTCAGAAAATATAGAAGCTTTAATAGAAGTCTTATAAGTTTCTAAAAATTATGTATACCTATTGATGGAATTTATAAAAATAGAATATAGGCTATATTTAAAATGAGGTATATGTCGGCTACTGGAAAATCTATAGATTGTTCCGACGTCGACCTGATTCCTGCTGACTATTAGCTCGAAGGTGTTAAGGATTTTATTTATCTTGTCCTCGAAATTAATAACAACAACCAGGCACAACCAACTTGAGCAGTTGAGAAAATGTATACATATATATCTTCATTATTAATTCATTATGAGTGTTTAAAGTAACAGATAAATGGATATAGACTATTTTTTAAATTCTGGAAATTATCTGAAAGTCACTTTCGAAGTATATTTCTAGCTACATGTCTGACAACACCGAGTTCAGCTTGAAGATTACATTAAATATTACCTAAGAAATTATCTGAAGACCACTCCCGAAGCATATGTCTAGCTACTAGTCTGATAACAACGATTTCAGTTTGAAAACCATATTAAATATTACCTAAACGATACTACTACGAGATTTCTACGTAATTGGGATGTAGAGCTCTCGACCGATAAAACTTACGCTTTATCGGTCGACCAGCTTACCTGAACGTTGCTATAGATCAGAAGCATTAACGTCATCACAGAATGTTGAAGCAGTACTGGGAATGTTTGAGAGTTCGGGAAAAAAGTTCTTCATAAGAGTTTTGACTTCCTGGGAGTTGGCGACGAATGCCACATTCGAATAAACCACGAACTGTACGAATTTTATTATGGTATAAATATTCGGAGAATTAATATACAGCGGCTTTACTGTTTTGAATAAAAAAGCTAAATAGGTATTTAAAGCGACAATTGAAAGAAACAGACGTAGGAAATGGTCATGTCATTAATAAATCGAATAAGTTAAGAGAATGCTGACCACTCCTGATGAACGAAACTTAAGAAGAAACTCACGAAGCGAAAATGTCTGGAGACGAGTGATATGTCAGGTCAAAACGCGTTAATGGTTTTGTTAGACTCAATTGACTGAGTTAAAATAAAGAATATATTGAGCGATTGAGCTCTTAAGGTCCAATAGATATGTTTCTCCTTTTAGTAATCCATAAGTGCTTAAGAAAAAGAGAGTAAGTGTTAAGTGATTTGAGTAGGATATAGGCGAACGATTGAATATAAATGTCCAACAAACGTTTAAACAACAGTCGTTCGTTACAATCCTAATGATTATAACCAACGCTCGATTTTACTGCACACTCTCCCTAAAATACAGAGTATGGAATACAACTAAGTAGCCAGCGACTGTAGTCTAATCTTACAGCGTACTTAAATTATGCATTTTATCAACTCCGTTTTTGCTATTTCTAGCTACTGGGGTTTAATGATTACAGTAGCGGCAAGGGATACGTCTTGGTGCCATTAGTCATTTTCGACTACCAATTGCTGTTCACCCTTCCTAAAAGTGACTATTACACGGGTATAGTGAAATTTCCAGAGGTTATCACAATAACAACTATAATTTAAAAGTACGTTTGATTATTATATGGAATACAATAGCTAGAGATTTTTGACATTTCTAGCTACGGTACGGTAGTTACTATACTTACGTATGGATTGAATATAAGACTGAGATAAGTTTAAAAACTACTAGAAAAGAATATATATATATATCAGTGGTAACGCTCGAAAAAACATTAGGTAACTATTACACTTCAGTGATATTGAAATTGAAATGTTAATGATTAATGTTAATGATTAATGTGTTAAAGAGCACCACGTTCTCAACCCCTATATTATATATATGAACATATTATGTCTTGAATTACTAATAAATTTTCTTAGAAAAAATATTCCTATAAAGAGGGTCCTATAAAAAAAGTAAACTAAATATTCTTCTATTCTAAACTTAACATTTAAACGTGTTAGATTTAATCTACTCGTTTTTTATAATCT